TTTTAATTAAAAAAATTAGCATAATACAACACAACTGACAATTAAAATTTACTTGTAGTAAAGTCTTAATTTGAAAAGATTTTATTAAATATTAGAAAAAACATGGAATAAATTTATAATTTTTTCTAAAATAAACGAAAAATTTTAATTTTAAACTTAATTTCAAAATTTTTAATTTATATTTGTGGACGTCCATATGAAAAGGGACCACTTTGTCGGTTTTATTTTAGGAGATAATCGCTATTTTCTAAAAGTGTTTCAAATTTTTGATTTTTTTTTATTGGTGGAAAACAATCTACTTAGTGTCCCCTGTTGATTCATACGTTTGTGATAATTTTTTCGTAATTATAAATACGTAATAATAATATTTTTAATTTTTTATTAACATGGGAGCTAATGTTAAACTCGAACTTTAAACTCGTTTTTCTCAAAACTAGTGTTTTGACACTTCCAACTTTGAAGTCTTGTAACTTTGCGAATTTTTCATCTAGAAGACTCTATAACCACTCAAAATTTTCCAAATTTAGCAAGGAATATGCCCATATAGATAACTCCATACCAACAAAGTGGTCCCTTTTCATATGGACGTCCACATTTTTTTATAATTTTTTATAATTTTCAAAATTTTGTTTTTTAGTTTTTCATTTTTACTTCTTCATTGGAGAACGACTTTTTGCTATCTAATTGAGTAAATACTTTTGAAGTATAGAAGAAAAAAAATTTTTTAAGTATTAATTCGTACATAATTTGCAATTATTTTATGACTTCGCAATAAACCAATCCCGGCAAAAGCAATTTTTAAAAGTTGATAAGAAAAAAATTTAATTTTTTTTAAATGTTAATGGAAGAAAATTTTTTTGGCATGATATTTAATAATAACATTGGGAAGATTTAAGAAAAAACATACAAATGCAATTTTCTCAATAATTTTTTTTAGTAACATTGTTACAACTCATACAAAACTTTAACTTTGTTAAATTAATATTTAAAATTTAATTTAAACTGTAATCGTTTAAAAAAATTAATTTAAGAGAAATTTTGTCAGCAAGATAATTTTAATTTGACAAAATTAAAAACTGAGTTTCATTTAAATCATAAAGAAAACTCCATGCGCAATGGTAAATACTTTAACTTGAAAATCGATATATGTCAATCAGTGTTCACCTAGAAGTTGAGATTTGCTTTCTCAACAATGTTATGAACGCTCAATAACTTTAAATCATTTGCTGACAAAAGGTCTTTCGAATCTGTTCCAAATATCGATATCGCAAGTAAAACAAGTTGTTGACGAAATTCTTTCTCGAATGAAATTTTAAAAATCCAATATGCCGCCATTAGCAATATGACTGCTTCCTTAGGTTTTGCAACGAATAATGGTTGAGAGTCAACATAACACCTCAGATTTTGTGGTCTCGATCCAACACCTGTTAAGAATGGACCTTTACTTCTCTTGGGAATTGATTCCTTTAAAGTTGTTTTATCCTAAAAAATTTCATTAATGTAAAAATTGAATAAAATATTAATTATATATTATTGACAAAAAATATGAAGTAATAACTTCTTTTTTTAATAAATAAAAAAATTGTAACGTAAGATTTAAAAAAAAATTTAAATAAAAAATGATAATAAAAATAAGACTATTTAATTATATATTGTAAAATAAATAATAAGAAATCACTTACAGGAAAAATCTTGAGTACACTGTTCTGCAGTTTCTTGCCAAATGGTTTGAAGAGAAGTGGCAGGTGTAGCAATAGATGCAAAGCTTGATCGTCTTGTTCAGCAGGAATTGGCAGAATCGAATTCAGTTTTTGAATAGAATCGTTCAAATTTTGTCGAAGCCTTTGAACTCCAATACTGACAATTTGAGTGAACTCCCACAGGAACTATATTTATACAATTTAATTATATCAATATTTACAAAATAAAAATATTAAATGAATAAACAGGGTTTTCCAAATTTTATTGCAAAATTTTTTGATTTTGCAGAAAATCTTTCTCTTGAATAAACAAATTTTGTTCAGATAAACGTTTACTTATTACAAGAAAGTATCAAGATTACTTTGTGAGCTTATTAGAAGTTGACTATTCAAAAAAAAAATCCGTGTATTTTTTCACGTGAAATTTTCGTGCAATATTTGGGTAAATCCTCGAATATTTTTTTTTTATTTTCTTAGAAGAATATCCTCCAGAATTTTTTTTGCTTTTCATCAATTTTTCTTGAGGAATTCTCGAAGATTTTTTCCATGCATTTTATAATCTTTCCTCAAGAAATCCTCAAGAACTTTTTTTTGTTTTTTATTAATTTTCCTCGAGGAATTGCCCATATCTTTTTTATTTTTTATCAACTTTTCTCAAGGACTTTTGGAGAAAAATTGATAAGAAAAAAAATTAGAGAATTTTTCGAGGAAATTGAGTAAAGGGAAAAAATCTCAAAGATTTACCCCAATCTACATGAGGATTTTACGGTGGAAATACACTCGGATTTTTTGATGAATTGAGTTTATAACGTTTTTGAATTATAAATACTAGTAAATAACTAAAAATATTTTTCAGCAAGCTTTTGGAATGAATTTTGCACAATTATGTAGTAAGCTTGTAACAAAAAATTGTCATAAGCATAGATTCTATCGGAATACTATTTATCAAAGATAATTATAGTTTAATTTAATTTTTTACATTTTTTAATTCAATTTTTGAAATTTTAAAAGAATTAAAAGCTTTTCAAGAATTGTGAAAACTCTGTGTAATTTAGAAAACGAGGTAAAAAAGTTATCTTTTTATTCTTACCAAGTCCTCATCCAATAATCCTCTGTATTTCTGTAACAATTCGTATCCACTTAAGTCAACCGCATCTGAATTTCTACCATTTCTAGTCTCGTTTAGTAATTTTCTAATCAAGCTTCTATTGATGTTCTCTTTTCCTATTTCTTGTGTCATCACTTCTAAAGCACCAATTTCCTTGCTGTTGTGAATTTCCTTTTCTGTATCTTTAGGTTTCGGAGGCAGCTTTCTGTTTTGATTTTTAAAATAGTAATGCAGTCTCTTTTCCACTGTAGCCTGTAAACTAATATAAATTTTAATTGGATTTAATTGTGCCCGAAACACTATTCTATTAAAAGTGGAGTACAGTATTTGGATTTCATAAAATCGATAATAGGACCTAAAATGTAGGATAGTTATAGTATAAAAAATACTGTCAAATTTTTTTACTTACACTAGTTCCCAATAGGGGAAACTTTCTTGCAGTTAGAATTGACACTGCATTTCTGAATTTTAGTTTCGTTTCTTTTTGTCTCAACATTAAGCTGCCAATGTCTCTTATCATCGAGCATTTCTCCTTTTTCCTAATTTACCTTTCTTCAGTGCAGACATCACACGAGGTTCAAAAAGTTTAGGAATGTACTTTTCCATAGACGCCTTGTAAAAGAGAAAAAATTTATTTATTTTATTTATTTACAAATAAATCTCTAGGCCTAAAGAAATATTAAATATAAAATTACAAATATTTATTTAAAAAGAACCTTACAATTTCGTTTCTTGAACTCGATGGTAAATTTTTCGATTCTACTAGTGGTGCTTTAGTATTTTTCTGTGGTGATCGGGAAGATGATTCTTCAAATGAGGATAAAGAATCGTCAGATAACTCCAAGTGTTAAGAAGATTTCTTGGAAAGTAGCGATTTACTAGGCAACGATTGCTGATTAACTGATTCTGACTCGGTAATATGTGAATCTGGTTCACTTAAATCATTATGCTAAGACCTGAGCAGCTACGTCATCAACTTCTGTAAATTGTGTTGTAAAATTTATTTATCAAAAAGTGCGAGTTTAGCGTGGGATGCGCGCAGCCTCCTTAGCATAAAAAATATTAAAACATTGAATAACGTTAAATATTTTTAATCAGACAAACTGAAAACTGAGTACTGAAAACCTTAAGGAGTTACAAATTTTTTTTGTGACTTTTTTTATAAAAAAAATTTAATTTAGGCAACGTAAGACTCATTTTAGAACGTATACAAACTGTAGAATTTTAATTTCATCTTACCTACAACTTCATGTTTCAAAGGAAAGCATTCACAATACCCACAGGTTGAGAACTTTCCTTCTTACATTTCATATAAATCGCATTGCCCACATGAACATCTGCCTCTCAAAACGTTTTGCGGGTCCAAATTACCTCTCATTATGGCGTTTTATTTAAATTTGTTTAAGTTATTTTTTTGTAAATGTTTAGATTTTAAAATTGAATCAAACGTAAAAGCTGCAAACTAAATTGATCCACGTTACACGCGGTGTAAGTATTATTGAATTAAAATTTATTTTTATATAACTTGATAAAGTTCATGTAACCAACAATGTATGAATCACCTGATATTCAATGTAAATCACCGATACATTGTTTAATAAATATAAAATTCTTTCCTTCCGATTTGTGGCTGTGGTAGACATTATGTCCAATAATGTTTTCAGGTGTGTAACATGCATAAATTTCGGATCTTTCTATTTCATAAGACATTAGTCTTAAATTGTGACGAACAGTAGAAACTTTTTTGCAGACAAAAATGGGTAAAGCATCAGTCAAGACAATTGCAATTAATTCTGCAAAAACAGGAAGGTATTCTGAACTATAGTCCACTGGAATGTAACATTTATTGAAAACGTATTTTGTCCCATCATAATTGATCCAAGGAACTATTTCCAATGCTAAATCATTTGGAAACATTTCGGCAAAGTCTACTCTGTCAATAGAAGTTAATCTTCTTGGTCCGTGAGTAATCCTTTTCAAAAGAGGCAATTGGAAAATCCATGCTTGATACAATTGATGACGATCCGACAATGTAAAAGCCAGATTTTTGTAGTTACGCATAGCTTGCACTATTCTTTTGAAAAATTGATGTTTGGCTTCCATACGCATACACCAGAATGCGACAAGTGGGCCAAAGTCCTTCACATTTCGAGGATGATGTAAGGAGTAATGTTGCTTCGGGATTAAATTTCTCAAAAGAGAAACATTGTCTTCAACGTTAACTTCGTTATATATAGATCTCTGAAGGATTCTAAATATTCTTCCGTTATATCCTTTAAGTAATCGAGCATTCCTGTACTGATTGAAGTTCCAAATATAATTGAAATTATTTCCAATAACTGTGAATAATTCTCAAAATACGGACAATTTTCCTCAATGACATCCTGCACTACAAATGGTATGATAAAAGCCAATAAAAACATTTGACTCGCATTTTGATGCAGGTTATTGCCAGGAACAAGATGCTGAGATTTAATTGTTGATGGTTTGTATGACAGTTCATTGTATCCGTAATCAAAGTTCTGAATTCTGTCGTTAATTACACTTAAAGGTAATTTCTTGAGTACAACTTTTTGCATTAAAAGTTGTAAAGTCAGTATAAAATCTCCGAGCAAATGGTCATGAACAATATCATGAGGAGCACTCCGCGTTGGGTCGACTTTTAAAAGCTCTGTTAGTGAGCATCTTCGATTTATTCCATATTCTGTCGATAAACGTTCTTTTTCTCTTCCTTCAGCTTCTTCTATTTCTGCAACTTGTTCCTCGTGTTGTTCAGGAGTTCTCAACAAGCTTTCATCTTCTTGTGTCATTTGACGGACCTGTTGAAGGGTTGCCATACAATCCCGACACGGACGATTTGCAGTGAAGCCTTCTTTTAAACCGCATAGCATATGTACACCTAAATTATCTCCCTGGATTGCAAATAATGCTCCGAAAATTTTTTGGCCATTAGGCAGGATAATTTCTTTTTCCAACAGTTTTAATTCTTTTATTAGTGGTTCCAAAACTTTGTTTATGCCATACTTCTGTATATCGGCATATTTAACAATAGCGGCTAAATTTATGAACTTTAATTCGGACCGATACTTGGGATGAATATTTCCTATCGCAAAATAAAACATTCCTAACTTTTGATCACCAGAAGACTTAAATCCTAAACCGTCGCACATATCTACCTCATCGTAGTAAAGAAAAATGCGTAATGCATCAGGTTTTTCTTCGAAATATTCGTGATTCATAAAGTGACAACCATCTTCATAGGACGAATAAACATTTTCCTTTGGAACATGATTATACAATAATTGGTCTCAAGATTCATTGGTCACCCACTGTTTTATAACCGATGTTAATGGAACGTACATCATTTCATCCTTTTTAGTTTTAGTTATACTATCCCCTCCACAAGCAGCACCCCCATACTTAATAAATTTTTTTCCTAAGACGTATCTTATTGGTTTCACGATGTTGAATTCAGTTTCCAAATATTTATCTCGCTTTCGACGTTTCTCCAATTCATAAATGCAATCTAGAGAATTTACTTTTTCTTCTATGTTTATCAAATCCGTTAAATGAATACCTGTTCTATCTGCAATGACATTATCTACCTCTAGTAGTGTTTCACGAACATGTACTTGAACAACATTTTTCAAATTTAATAAAAGGGAATTTATATCACTTTCTGATAATGTAGATGTTGCTCTCAATTCTAATAAAAATTTTCCGATTGACTTTTTCTTTTCACCATTCGCAACATTACCTTGAATTAAATTGGGATTTTCATTGTTACCTTCCTCTTCACTATCTACACTACTATCGTCATCACTAATATCTTCACTTTCATATTCTCTATCTAAACTATCTTCACCATTAACGTCATCACTAATCTCTTTCCTTTCATATTCTCTATCTATATTCATTCCATCTTCTTCATCTCTAATATTTCCTACATTTCCTACCCTAGCTTGTGCATTTTGATTATTCTCAAAATTAGCATTTTGCTGATCTACATCCATTGATTCTGGCTCAAAAACATTACCTACTCGACGATCGCCTCTTAATTTGTGCAATCTCGAAATATGTGAACGTAAAGTAGAATAATTATGAAACCGAGATGGACAAGTAGGACATTCCAATTCAAAATCAGGTTCATTTAAGTGTAAATGGACAAGATATCTATTTAACTCCACAGTAGAATGAAAATCTTCCCTACAAAATTGACATTGCTTCAGTCTATTTTCATCCATTTTTTACAATATGCAATTGATGTAAAAATTTAAATATAGAAGACAAAAGTGACTTTAATTTTTGCCAAAATCCACGTAACATTACGTGTATAATTGGATGTGAGTCCAAATTATTCTTCATTGCCAGGAAAACGAAGATTCACTTTCAATAACAGAGACCTGTCAAAACAGTGGTCGTCGCCATCTTCCAGACACATGTTATTGTGCAGCGCCCCTATCGGTCATTTATCAAACTTTCTTTCGACCGTCGATAACTAATGAAGTTACCATCTGACGCGCATCGATTACCAATGGTGGATCTTTTGTAACTCGGGCGAGACTCACCATGTAGACGAAGCGCGACGAACGGACGCGATGACGCGGACGAACAGCCATTTTTGATCATTCTCGTTTTGGCGTTTGACAGCGGTGTCAACATTTTGTGTTTTAGATTAAATTTGTGGATTTATAAAAATAATATGAGTCGAGGACTTCTACGTGGACGACGGCGTATATCTGGTGAGTCTCTCATCAATTAAAGTGTTTCAAAGTGAACTTTCGGCGGAGTTGATCGCCAAAATTATTAATAAATAAAAACATTGTTCTACGAAAACTTGTGATTTTCACAGGTCCCCTCAGGACCTGTCTCAAAATATTAACTAAATTTCTGTGTTTCTTCTTATTATAATTAAAGTGTGGTGTTTAAATTATATTGGTGATTTTCCTTACCCACCCGCTCTCCTTGTTTACAGCTGGGCTAGCGTATTAAAATCTTTAAATAAATGGTTCGGTTATTTTCCACAAAATAACCTGGCGTCTCGGGCATTTAATTAAAATAAACCAAATATAACGGGTATTTTACTCAAATCCACATTATCAATTAATTAATTAACAATTAAACTTTTAGTAAATTCATTTAAATAAATAAAATCAATCAAATTACACGTTATAAATGGCGCCCAACGTGGGGCGCCATTTATAACGTGTATTTTAATTGATTTATTTATTTAATTGAATTTACTGCAATTGTTAATGTTAATTAATTAATTTATAATGTGGATTTGAGTAAAATACCCGTTATATTTGGTTTATTTTAATTGAATGCCCGAGACGCCAGGTTATTTTGTGGAAAATAACCAAACCATTTATTTAAAGAATTTAATATGCTAGCCCAGCTGTTATCAAGGAGAGCGGGTGGGAAAGGAAAATCACCAATATAATTTTTAAACCACACTTTAATTATAATATGAAACAGGTCCAGAAGGGACCTGTGAAAACACAGAAATTTAGTTGATATTTTGAAACAGGTCCTGAAGGGACCTGTGAAAACCACAAGTTTTCGTAGAACAGAGTTTTATTATTTATATTTTTGGCGATCAACTCCGCCGAAAGTTCACTTTTTCGCGAGTTTCGGAAACACCGGGCCCACTAGGACTAACACACCAGGTGACACCCCCATTCGAATTATTTCAATTCTATAAACCGGGGATAATGACGACAACGATTGAAAAACCAAAATTTGATTTTTCCTTGCCAAAATATTCTGACAGTGTAATCGCGAAAATAGATAACGCTACAAGGAATATTTCTGAAAGTCAATCAGGCGCGAACCTGTTAACTACTAGTCGACCGGATATAATCAAACCCCCAACCAGTAAATTCTTAGAAGGCAATTCGGCCTTTTCTAAAGTAGGGATATTAGACCCATCGACTGGGACTATAAAAAAAAGGTTGACCAGTGACTGGCCCAATCCTGGCAAACTATCTCGCCAGTATTTAGACGACCCTAAACCTGGCCCAATCAAGGCGCTAGACAGGCCCAGTCAAGGGCCAAGCCTGGCCCAGTTTTCTAACAGGGCTCTATCTAGTTCGAGTCTAATTGAACTAGATTCAGAAAGTCTAATTGATCAAACGATGAACCAGGGCTCATCCAACCTAGATGTTGACTCGCCCATGGATCAATTCAGACTAAAATATAAAGATCACGAAAAATCTAACCTTTTTAGACCGATTAGTTGTCAACGCGCAACAAACGCGGAGTTTAACGCTGAACATGCGCATTTGAAAGAAAATCGGCTCTCAACCAATCGAAATAAGCGAAATGAAATCCGTTGTCAGTTGTCCCCAAACCTCGATCGCGAGCAGGTCGCAGCTTCCTCTAGAAAACCCCTAGATTCAATTGTTCGCAAATGGAATATAAAATTCGCGGGGGATAGTACGGTTAGTGTTGAGGAGTTTTTGGAACGCGTGGACGATATGTTAGAAATCTCGTCAATCACAAGTGGAGAGGTCCTTCGCGCCGCAGTTCTTTTGCTTGACGGTATAGCACTCCACTGGTACAGGCAGAATAAACATAACTGGTCCACATGGGACCAATTTAAATCAGCATGTCGTGCTAGGTTTGGTGACGTAAATTATCAATGGCGACTTGAAGATCAGGTGACTAATAGAATTCAAGGCGCGGGTGAATCCACTGCCAATTACATTACCTGTATGCGTGGTTTGTATCGAAAATTCAACCGTGTCGTGACGAATACCGAAATGTTAGATAGAGTTTACATGAATATGCAACCTGAACTTAAGAAATGCATTAAACGTCGAGAATTTATGAACTTAGAAGAGTTATCTCTCATTGCGGCGGACGTTGAGCGAATGTTAAGTTCTCTCACGGTCGAGAGAAAACCACAAAAACCGGAAGACTCATTTTTCCCCGAATTCGCTTTTGCGGGTAAAATTAAAGAAAAACCGGTGGCTCCAAATAATATTAAGAAAGATTCAGACCCAGCTATCGATAAATTAATTAACATGTTTAGTGCATTGTCCGATAAGATTGAGAAAATCTCAAAAGGAAATCAAAATTCCCCTTCGGATTCAAATGCAAAGAGACAAAATAACTCGGGTAAAAAGAATCAAGATAATAGAAATCCGAATAAAAATAACGATAAACCTAAGCGTACGGAATTTCGCGAGGCAGTTAAACAACCCCCTTGTTTTAATTGTCAAGGAAAGGACCATTCGTGGAAAGAATGTAAAATAACTTGGAAGAAATTCTGCTTCATTTGCGGTAAAGCGGGATTTACGAAATTTAACTGCGACTCGGACTATTGTCAGGGAAACTAGTGGAGGAGAGCAGACTTAGGGTCAATGCCCCTCCTTATCCTACACTTTTGACCCTCACTGACCATAAATTAGAAGAAAATTTAAACCTTAACCTAAATTCAACATCATTATCGCCCAATTCAAGTAATCCTCTAATGGAACATAAAAATAACATTTTTAAATAATGACTCAAGTAAGAGATTAGTCGAGCCACCAGTAAATCACTCTGAATCGAGCTTAACTGATTCAGAAGTAACTTGTAAACTTTTGACTGAAACGGTAGGTGTTCAGGAAAAAGATACAAATAACTTGACCCAAGATTCGGCACATGTTAAGTGTCGCGAATCTGGTATTAACCTTGATGAATTGTGTGGAATCGGGCCTCACTCGAGACCATACATTAAATTGTTAATTGGTGGTGCTGAAGTTCAGGCACTGGTTGACCCTGGCTCTTCTAAAACTTACTTGAACGCTATTGGTAAATCAATCGTAGAGTTAAATGGTAATAAAATAAAGGAACTTGAATCGGGTCACGTAATGTTGGCTAATGGAACTATTGTAACCATAGTAGGCGAGGCTATTCTGCCGGTCACTATCGCTGGAGTGACTCGCGACTTAGAAATCAAAGTAATCCCCGACTTAACCGATCAATGCGTGTTAGGAGTCGATTTTCTGACTAAATTCGGAGTAGTAATTGATACTAGTATCCAAAGGCTGTGGATGGCTGAAAAACCTATTATTAGGATCGCGTTTTGTAAACCCAGTAAACCAATTAACTTCGAAGAATGCGCAGGTCTCATGGAACTTTCCTCTGATGAACAAGCGGAACTTGACTCGCTAATAAAACAGTTAGTTCCCCCTCTCCCAGATAAGTTACCAGCCGTAACGTTAGTGGAACACGTAATTAACACGGAGGATCATCCACCCATCCGTCAAAAAAATCATCGAATGTCACCGAAAGTTTGCGAATATTTCATCAAAAATTCAGAGAATCTTGAACGTCAGGGATTAATTGAACCATCCAATGGTGAGTGGTGCAACCCGGTGTGTATGGTCAAACAGCCGGATGGCACTTATCGCCAATGCTTGGATGTGCGTAAGGTAAATGACGTCACAGTTAAAGACGCTTATCCCATACCGTTCATGGCCGATATTCTCGATAAACTAAATGGGGCTCATTACATCTCCAAGATTGACCTGAAATTAGCTTACCACAAAATTCCCCTTAGTGCGGAAAGTAAAGCTAAGACGGCTTTTGTCGTACCGGGGAAGGGGTTGATGCAATATACGAGAATGCCATTTGGGCTTTGTGGAGCACCAGCCACCTTCCAACGGTTAATGGATAAAATTATAACGGCTCAAATGAAGCCCTATGTGTTCGCTTACTTGGACGATATAATCATTGTCACGCGGACGTTCAAGGAGCACACGGAATGGCTGGAGCACGTAATTAAACTCCTGCTCGAGGCTGGATTTACCATCAGCCCCGCGAAAAGCCAATTCTGCGTCCCCGAAGTAAAATATTTAGGGTTTACCGTCAATAAAAATGGACTATCTATCGATAATGACAAAGTTCAACCCATCTTAGATTTTCCTCAACCTAAGAATCTACGTCAACTCCGTCGTTTTATTGGTGCGACTTCGTGGTACCGACGGTTTATCCACGACTACGCGAAGACTTGCGAACCCTTAACTCGTCTGTTAAAAAAAGATCATCCGTTTAAATGGACCGATGAACAGGTCAATGCAACTTCAACCCTAAAGAAAGCTTTAACTTCTGCGCCGATCTTTGGTTACCCGGATTTTAATATCGAGTTTCACGTTCAAACTGACGCAAGTAACTGTGGTATCGGTGCCGTATTAACGCAAATTCAAAACGGCAAAGAACGAGTGATCGCCTATGCCAGCCGTATACTCTCAAATGCTGAACGTAACTACTCTGTAACGGAGAGAGAGTGCTTGGCTGTCATTTGGGCGATCAAAAAGTTCCGTTGCTACTTGGAAGGTTATCACTTTAAGGTGATAACCGACCATAGCTGCCTCAAGTGGTTGAATAACTTGCGTAACCCGACTGGCTGATTAGCCCGTTGGTCACTTGAATTATTAGAATATGACTACGAAATTTTGCATAGAAAAGGGTCAATGCACCTCGTACCGGATGCATTGTCCCGAATGTTCGAAGACGAGACTGAGAACAAAATCGCCGCGCTAGAATTGACTAACGATAAATGGTACGAAATTCGTAAACAAAACGTGATTAATGACCCACGCAAGTATCATAACTGGAAAGTGACTGACGATCGACTCTATTACTATCGGAGTAACCCTCTGTTGGAAGATCTTGTAGAAGACCTTTCAGCATGGAAATTAGTAGTCCCTTTAGGAGACCGCTTAAAAATTATGACAGAGGCCCATGAACATACCCAGGCCGGTCACTTAGGTGGCCAAAAGACTTACGATCGTGCGTCAATCCAATACTATTGGCCAGGCATGCTTCAAGATATTGAACAATTCGTTCGCAAATGCATTGTCTGCCAATTAAATAAAACAGAACAAGCCAAACCGCGTGGTTTAATGACTCAACGTATAGTACATGAACCGTGGAGTGTAGTGGCCACGGACGTAATGGGCCCATTCCCTAAAAGCGCGAGAGGATTCGAATACTTAATTGTATTTCAAGACCTGTTTACTAAATGGGTGGAGTTGGCCCCACTTAGATCAGCGAACGCAAATACTATTACTAACTCGTTTCGTGAACTTGTTATAAACCGATGGGGTACTCCCCAGGTGTTGCACAGTGACAGCGGTACAGAATATAATAATAACGCGGTAAAAGAATTAACCACCGCTTATCACATCCACCACTCGTTCAACCCTTTATACCACCCACAAGCGAACCCAGTCGAGAGGACCAATAGAGTCCTCAAGACCATGATTCGTTCATTTATCGGCGATAACCACCGGAATTGGGACATTTTCATCGGCGACTTTCGTTTTGCATATAATACAGCGCTTCACAGTACAAATCGAGTCACCCCGGCGTTCCTCAATATGGGGAGAGAACCCGTCCCATTAAAATCGTTCCGTCGGCTTGTGGAGGGGGGAGTCGAGTTGCCACCTCCTGATGTCAATGAGTGGACAACTCGAATGTCTAGATTGAAAGACCTGAGAGAAAATATAACTCAAAACCAAGACAAAGCTTTTCTCCGTCAGGCTAAATACTATAACCGCCGTTATCGGGACCAACGTTTTGAAATCGGGGACTTAGTTAAGAAACCGCTCCACGTCCTCTCAAATAAACGCGACAATATAGCAAGTAAGTTGGCCCCTGCATTCCATGGCCCCTTTATGGTAATTAAAATCATATCTGCGAATATTTATGAACTAGCGTCATTAGACGGTCGTCTCGCAGGGAGATATCACGCATCCCACCTTCAACCGTATCATGCGGAAGAGATTAGTAGCTATTCGGATGACTCGGATGAGGATCAATCTCTTGACCGCGATCTATTAGAAATCCACTGGTCTGATTCGGAATCGAATAGGACGGAATCGGAAACTGACCCAATTGTGTTGACGGAACCTACAATGGATGTAGAACGCGTTCACCGTCACAAACTCCGTAATAGATCTTATTCGTTTTAAATTCTGAATTCAATTCGTTCTGTCAGAAATTGGACCCTTGGTGTAGAGAGTTCACCAAAGAAGTAAGACTTTAACTTTTCGTTGACAGAGGATATATTATTGCATCCAAGGCAGCATTTGGATGGGGCGGATCCGGATGTTGATCCAGATGTGTTGGTGGCTGCACGCCACCTACTGACGAGAGGGTGATTCCCTTCCCAGGCCTCCCTCTTTACAGAGGACGACCTGGAAAATATCCGCCAAGCGATTGGGCGGGCTCAGCCCGTCAAATTGACGCCGGAGGAAGAGCGCTACCTTCCGAAGGCCAAAAGTCCGGAGCCAATTCCCGAGGAAGCAGGGGGGGTAGATCCCGTTACCCCAGTACCATCCAACAATTGGGTCCTGCACGTTGAAGTGCCGCCGTATCAAAAAGCCAGGAAGGCTAAATTCTGGGGGGCCGATAAGGCCCGTCGAGGAATCTGTGGCAAGTGTGGCCAGAGTGGTCACAGATACTTTGATTGCCCCCGGTTCACTAAGAAAAATTAAAAATTTATTTATTGTTTTAAAAAAAAAAAAATTACTTTATTTTTGTATTGACCCTTGTGAGGAGGGTAATTGCCTCACCTTAGAATTTAAAAATTAAAAAAAAAAACACATAAATAAATGTTACCCATTGTCTTTGACCGTGATACTAAACCAAATCCTGCTCCTTGCTTAATTTATACTTTACTTTCAGGTTTTGAACAGTTGAATAATTTAGTCAACTACATCGTGTTCAATTCTAAACAATTAATTTTGAAGTTCTTATTCGGTCATCTGAAAATTTTTAATTGAACATAAACTTTTTAAACTTAATTGAATATAAAATTTATTAAGAAACAATTTTGGGTGATCAATTATCTGACGGAAGTCTCTTTGAGGAGAGCTCATCGGTTCGCCAGGTCTGTTCCCCCTTGGCTCACTCTTGGCAGGAGGGAGTTGTAACACGGCATTTTATTGCCTTCGTTCCATATAAAGAAAACTAATTAATTTATCGTCAATTGAACGCCAGAGCGGGAATCATACTGTACTTCACTTCAATTTTGTCACTTTTATTTTACATTTATTTCAATAAATTCCTTAATTTCATTATGGGCGAATCGTCAGATGATTGTTCACCGATCATATAAAAATTAAGAATAACACTAACACTTTTCTGTCTCTTACTTTACATGAAAATAACACTCGGGGTTAAGTTCCCCAATTCCACAATTGTCGGGTTGATCATCGACTTAAATATCCTTGAGGGAGGACATCAAGGGAGGTGTTTTCTGGCATGTATAATTGGATGTGAGTCCCAATTATTCTTCATTGCCAGGAAAACGAAGATTCACTTTCAATAACAGAGACCTGTCAAAACACTGGTCGTCGCCATCTTCCAGACACATGTTATTGTGCAGCGCCCCTATCGGTCATTTATCGAACTTTCTTTCGACCGTCGATAACTAATGAAGTTACCATCTGACGCGCATCGATTACCAATGGTGGATCTTTTGTAACTCGGGCGAGACTCACCATGTAGACGAAGCGCGACGAACGGACGCGATGACGCGGACGAACAGCCATTTTTGATCATTCTCGTTTTGGCGTTTGACAGCGGTGTCAACATTTTGTGTTTTAGATTAAATTTGTGGCTTTATAAAAGTAATATGAGTCGAGGACTTCTACGTGGACGACGGCGTATATCTGGTGAGTCTCTCATCAATTAAAGTGTTTCAAAGTGAACTTTCGGCGGAGTTGATCGCCAAAATTATTAATAAATAAAAACATTGTTCTACGAAAACTTGTGATTTTCACAGGTCCCCTCAGGACCTGTCTCAAAATATTAACTAAATTTCTGTGTTTCTTCTTATTATAATTAAAGTGTGGTGTTTAAATTATATTGGTGATTTTCCTTACCCACCCGCTCTCCTTGTTTACAGCTGGGCTAGCGTATTAAAATCTTTAAATAAATGGTTTGGTTATTTTCCACAAAATAACCTGGCGTCTCGGGCATTTAATTAAAATAAACCAAATATAACGGGTATTTTACTCAAATCCACATTATCAATTAATTAATTAACAATTAAACTTTTAGTAAATTCATTTAAATAAATAAAATCAATCAAATTACACGTTATAATATATATATATATCACGCAATTATTAACCCCATTAATGTTATAAAAAGTGCTGTTTTAAAAATGTGTTGAAACAAGTTTTTCGACTATTGCCAATTTGTGATTTCGAAATAAGGATGAGAAAAGTTATCTGCGTCAACATTTCCTTTTTGTTGAATGGCCTTTTATTTTAAAAAGCATTTCGCAAGTTCTTTCAAAAATACAGGTTCAGCATTATTAATTAGTCCAAATTATTATTAATTAATTCCTGATAAAATCATTACAATTTTATTCCAGAAATAGTATTAAATTTTTATGAGTATTAAATTATAACGGTAAGAATCTAGCATACGGTTCGACAAATGCAGTTGCATTGTGTTCACGTTGGTTTTACTACATTCATAGAATATTATCCCTTTCCTATTATTCCCTATTGATTCGAATCATTCATTACAATAGAATCATTTCAAAAATGATGAATTAAAAGAGAATTAAAAGAATGCTCATAAATTGGCTTGATAATAGAAGCTTCAAGACTCTTATTGCGTCAATGACCAAATATGAGTTTGTTGAAGGAAATAAGAAACGTCAACGTTTCTGTAAAAATATTACTTATAAAAGTCAAGTTGCCAATCCAACCTGGTAACTAAAATGATGAGCTAAGCTCTGTTGCACTGCACAGTGGCCGATTTCCCGAAAAACCTGGCCAAAAATCGAAAAATGATACGATTTCAATCAAAATTGGTATACCCATGTTTTTTGGGTTTCTGAATTCAAATTTTACATTGGTTGTGTCAAATTCAAAATGGCGGATCCAAAATGGCCGTTTAGATTTTAAAAAACTTTGCTAAAAATTAAAAAATGGTACGATTTTAACCAAACTTAGTATACTTACGTTTACTGGGTTTCTGAAATCAAATTTTACATTTGTTTTGTCATATTCAATATGGCGGATCCAAAATATTTGCTGGTATTATAAAATTGCGTATATGTGTTAGAGTTTATTTTTTTTAAATTACAGAAAGTGCTTAAATTTTAGTTTAAAGCGAATGCGAATGAAGAAAAAGTCAGTCTGTCACGTTCAGTTGCACCGGCGGCCGGTGCAACGCGCTGTCGGTAAACCGCGCTGGGTGAAATAAAAAGTGATACCAAAACTGCAGGGGCAGCTTGGGGCAGCTGATTTCAATTAAAATGAATCAAAAATATATTCTAGTTTATGATAATACCAGGTAGGGCGCGGATATCGGTGGATTTCACAACTATTTTCATGATTTACGTTGATAAAACAATGCAAAAATCGTAGCCATGAATAGCGATGTTTAATGTCATTTTTTAAAAACTGTACGTTTTAAATGTGATGATAAATACATTCAACCTATTTCATACACCTTTGTTAATAATTCCCAAAAAAAGATATTCAAAAATCTGCTGTATATTAGTATATTTTCACTATTTTAACTGTGACGAAAATTTATAGTTATGAAACGTTCTGAGTAAATCTCTGGCAAAGATCACTTTTACTTGTTCACATAATAAATTGGTGATAAAAAAAGTGTAATTTTTTTCGCAAAATTATGCAGTGAACCCTCCTTTATAATATTCAATAATAAAAAGTATAAATTTCTAAAAAAAAATTTTTGACTTTTGGCCAGGTTTTTCGGGAAATCGGCCACTGTGGCACTGTAACAGAGTTCAATAGCATTAAAGAAATTCTGGGATTCATCAGAAATGATTAAGAAATTATAATTCATTTCTTCATTTTTCGATTCCACCTCTTCCAAATTTACCACTCCCCGACCTCAATTGTTTGTATTAAAACTTGTGTGAATCGATGACATTTTGCTTCTTCGTGGTAGTTCTTCGTGCTAATCGGTTCATCGCGTAGTCGACCGTCTGTGAGATTCGGCCGATTCAAAAAGGTTCGCCACGGGCAACTAGATTCGGGCAGACGTTAAATATAAAAGAGATAATTACCTTAATTATCTCTGAAACCGATTTAAGAAATTCCTTTTACTTAATTCAAATTCAAGTTGTAATTATTTTACCAGGAATTTCCGTGTCTTTTATGATCGAGGTGTTTTCGTTAACGCGTAACTATATTCGAATATTTCACATAAAGGTGCCAAGGTGTCGTGGGAGTTGACTTTGATATAGTTGTTGACGAATTAAGTAACCTATCGTGATTTAAAGAACACAACCCGAAAGTGAATAATTTCCATGCGTAGAATTATAATAATGCATTATAATCGAAGGGAATTGTATCACGTCGTGTTGTTCGATACACAGACACAACACAGATAACAGAGAGGACAAATATAGTTCTCTAATAAACAATCATCTACTAAAAGCCCGTTCTGATAGGAAGGAAAAAGACCAGATGACTTTTCTCCACTCCTTCAGTGCGGTAGGAATTAAGGCGGTTACGTAAGTAAAATTGTATCGTTTCAATGAATAACTCCACAAAAATTATCATTCATGAAAATTCATAAATTAAAGTCGAGCCTTGACTTGAGTTAACATTTTCAAATGCATTGTAGTTGGTTGTATGAAAGATCAAAAGTAGAGTAAATAAATATATTGTTATCAAATTACCTATTAATCGGAATAAGAAGACTTATTCATTTTGCTACCCTTTGTTTAAATCCCTTGTTCCTGATGAGATATACCGATTGGAGAGGAATACCGTCCCATAAAATTATAAACCAAATGATATTATTATCATTTGGGTTGTTGCGAGAGAAACTCCGAAGAGCAGATTAATAATGTTTAAATATTCCTATTTAACAAACTCTTTTACATCGTAACATGAAAACATTGTAAACTGTGAAGAATAAAACATAGTTAAAATATTTATTCCCAGATAGAACGCAAGCTTGTCTGAGCTAGCAAAATGTCCCACCCATGGCAAGATTGTCAGGAAAGGTTACTGCAATCTTGCCATGAAAGATTGCTGCAAGTTTACTGCAATCTTACCATGAAAGCTTGTTGCAAGCTTGCTGCAACTTTACTAAAAATGAGTTCGGCAAGCTTGTTGTGAAAGCTTGCTGCAAGCTTGCCAAATATTTCTAAAATATTTTCAATATATAAAAATATTTTTTTATTTATTTTATATATAGAAAATATTTTAGAAATATTTGGCAAGCTTGCTGCAAGCTTTCTGCAACATTACATAGCAAGCTGTCACAGCAAGCTTGACGAAATCATTTTAGTAAGGTTGCAGCAACCTTTCCTGGCAAGCTTGCAACAAGCTTTCATGGCAAGCTTGCCATGGGTGG